CTTGTGGACAACATGGTTCAAGATATCCCTCTAAAACTTAGTGGCTCACCTTGCGTTGCACTTGCTGCTTAACATGGGATCTTCCAGTGACAACAAGGCCCAGAGGAGTCTCTTCTCTTGAACCTCCTTAATAAAAGGAGATATATTCACTGGTTAAGCAGACTAACTTTACCCCCAGAGGCTTCCAGCAAAATGCATTAAGAAGAACAGCCAACATCGTAGAACACAAAATAGGTCTTAAAAATATAAAAAAGATAACAATGATCTTCAGTTAATTCGGGAAAACCCACAGAGGCGATCCATCTATTAAGCACCTAAACTGAGTTTGTATCTCGGTATTAATGCAAGGGGCTGGGCTCAGTCTTCAAGGTCTCACTTCAAGAGATTTCCTAACAGGCTAGGGAGAGCAGGAATGGATTTGGATCTGAAATTACACGGAAGAGCAAAAATCTTTCTAGATGGAAAGGTGTTGGTTTGCTTTGTGGTTTTTTGGTTCTTTTTTTTTTTTTAATGAGAAATTAAAAACACACACACTGGGAAACAAAGTTAAGTTAAATCTAGCCCAGCTTTACACATTTTAACAATTCACTCTGCTGTCTGTAGAACACAGCAATATAAATATTGCTATCTCTGTTAAAATGAATTATTGACAATTTTAATACATGTTGCACAGTACATATTAATATAGAAAAATACATGTTATCAGCAATGCAATGTTGACCATGTACTAATCCATTCCACCTGCTCAAATATTAGTGCAAATAATTATATATTTGTAATGCATCATTGCTGTCTAGTTTGAATCTCTGCCTCCAGAATAAATGTCTCTTCTCTGAAGTTGTTTGCTGTTATGAGTAAAATGTTATATATTCATACTCAAATTGACTTTGGGTGGATAAGTAAAATGAGCAACCTTCAAAAATCCACTTGTCTAAGACTTAGCAAGTCATTTTAATGAATTGTTTACAGTAAAATGAATGTTATAAAAATGCTTCGAACACAAGCTCATGTTAGCTGACTTTTCTACAACACTCAAATACCACACGTCAAAACAGTGTAGAGTTCAAAATTACCATCTTCAACAGGCAGCATCAACTGAGATGAACCTTTACCACATCTTTCAGCAGGAGCTACTCACCCTGATACCTTGCAGTTTATCTATCGATTAATTGATTCTGGGGACATCTTCTCTCCACAGTGTCACCTTTTTTTTAAGCAAAGAGGTGGCCTCGATGAGGGCAGACACTTGGTAGAACCGCTCGTGTCCCCAATGGACTGATGATCAAAATGGAAAAAGCAGATGGACAGTGAAGACACTGCAAGGGCTTGTTTGTGCCAGGATATACCCTTGGCTAGAAGCGAAGTTGGAATAAGGCTGAGAAGGCCAAGGGCAGCCCTGAGAAGAAATGAGGCAGGGTTAAGGTGAATAAATTGCAAGGGAAGACTGCGGTGCAAACAGCCAGTCGACAAAGAGGTGGGGAGCAGAAACAGCCCCAAAACCAGAGCCTCATTGTGCACACAAGGGGGAGGAAAGAAAAGGGCCTACATCTCTTAGTTCATTCTCTCCTCTATCCTTGCTAAATCCAGGCTTGGAAATAACGAAACAGCATGAGGAAACTTTTCAGCAACAGCCACTGCTGCCACAATGCCCATCTCCCCAAGCAGTATTTGTTTCTTCTCTTGCTCCAGCAGCCTTATGGACAATTTTTGGCTACAGTGAAAGAAGACAGAGAGGCTTTAACACTTCAAGAAGGAAAATTTTTAAATATCAGCTTTTGAAGAATATTGTGTATTAGAAGATCAGCTTAGCAAACCGGCACTTACAGCTATGGGTCTCACGAAACAGTCACACATGCTCTAAAATTACATTACTGGGGTGGAACAATTCTAACCCTCCAAGGATGACAAACTGTTTCTTGGAGCTACTGGACCCTTTTGGACAGCCTATACAGGACAGGCAAAGATCTCTTCTGCAGCACAAAGGTGACAGAAAAGCCTCATGCTACTCTATGCTGAGGCGACACAACCAGGGGAGGGCAAGGGCAGGCAGAGAACATGTGTGCCAACCCCTCACTTCAGAGGGGGGAAACGACAGTGGCAGGTGAGCAGGATTTGGGACTGCTGTAAGGAAGCCTCAAATTTATTTTCATCCCTTATCAGGATGAACTTAAATTACAAATAAATTACAAGTAAAATTTCAATATATTGTAACCCTCAAGTATCAGAACAATTCAAAGATACTATTCAGAGATGGTGCAAGTTTGTATTTCATACTACTGGCACAGTACGTAATGAACACTGAAGCCGAGATACCTAACAATCTTTCCCCCAAGGCTGGTCCCTTACATGAAGTTTCAGCGTAATGCACTGTACAGCCAGGTCAGGGGAGAGCATGTGGAAACAGAGACCTGCAGAGGTGGGAGAATATGGGGAAGGTAGAGAAATAAAGCGGAAGGGAGCTAAACCCCTTCTCTTACCAGGCTGCATGTGGGGGAACCACTAGATAATATGTAAAGGGTTCCTAGAAGCTGGGCTGCAAAGTTAAAGACTCTCTCTGGTAGTGTGGTAACAGAGGAGAAGAGAGTGCAATCCTGAGATCTGGAAAGGAAAACAGGGCACAGGAATGTAAAGCTAATAAAATAAAAGTAGAAACCAAGGCTTCCACATACACTAAGGGCTATATTGACAGAGGAAGCAGTGCCCCATACAAGAGAAAAGACAACAAGCAAACACAGCTGCTCTCCCACTCTAAGATAAGCAGAAGACATGGTATAGAAATCTCCTACCACCAGTAGTTAGAATGGAGAGAAAAAAAAAAAACAGACAAGCCAAGCAGTGAACATGACTGGGCAGGAAATCTGGCTCCCTCCCCTTCTTAAAACAGATGTAGAAACACCAGGAAAGAAAAAACAAGGTGCCAGCCTTGCTGTCGAGAGAGAAAACACTCCAATGTAAATAGCATAACAGAAATCTATCTCCATTTACAACTAGCACAGAGATGGTAGAGGTGGAAATAATGCCTAGAAGCCAATATCCAGCAGAACATGAGGACAGGAAAGGTAGTCCTACCTTTCAGTTGTCCTCTAGAAGAGTAGTTTTTGGTTCTGGCAGCTGTCTTATCCTTCCTACTGCTCCTGGGACAAGAAGTACAAAGGAAAAGAGCTGCTAATTGCATCTAAAATTAGACAATAAGTTATTTAAATATCTGTTTCCTTCATATAAGGAAACTCATCACCTCAGCCTGGTTGCCCTACCCGTGACCAGTTCAACTCAAGTACTAAGCCTAATTAAGATAGTTGCTGCCATTAAAAGTTAATTTAAAGAGTACCCCTCCGTTTTGAAATGTGTCATGACATCTGAGTACGTTACATTTACTGTCATGCACATTGGCTTGAGAAATCTAGAACTACTGGTTTCTGAAGAACAGGTCAGCATGTACCAACTCATGAAGGAACCCACCGGGCCTCAACCTCTTCAGGGGACTTTGTAAAAAGCAGCATTTCTGCCACGTACTTGCAACATTTCCTACAGAAATGGAGCGATCAATTCAGACAACGATCACAACACCCCAGTACCAGCTATACGGCAGACCATTGCTCCTTAAGCAACTGAACTTGGGAGTTATCCGTGGCAATTAAACACTGAAGCAACCAGGGGTTTAAAATGACTTTGTGAAAGCTAAGAGGGGAAAAAAACCAAACCAAACCAAACAAAACCCAACCCAAGTTCTTATCAATTCCAAGATAAACTGACCTGCCACCTGGCAATACCATGCCTTTCTCGAATCAAGCACTAACTTACCATTGTCCAGATCTCCGTAGTCTTCAAAGAAAAAAAAAATGTCAGCTCTGGCAAACTCTCCTTCCCTCCACTCAGATTGCATATTGCTGGTGCATTTCGACTCCTCATGGTAGAAACAAGTAGTGCTCACGAGCGCAGCATCACTACCTGTCCTTCACAGCAGGTGTACACTCGTGTATAGACAGCCTCTTCCTCTCGAGTCCAACAATTCCAAGATGAATGAACAGCTGCACAGCAAAGTATTTTAGCCAGTCCCCCTCTTCCAGAGGCTCACTTCATTTCAGGGTGGGAAGTAGCTCTGGAGATTTTAATTCCAATCCTATTTATTTTCCTGGGTTGATGTGTGTCAGGTTTCTATTAATTATATTTTAACCTCCTCCTTCCAAGTGCTATGCTACTTCATTTAAAACTGCTTGTTCTCCATATCCTTTTAGTTCATGTCTTCTTCACTCCTTGCCCTCTATTTGTAAATATCTAGATGTTATTTTTACAAGCACTTCCATTTCCCAATTTTTCATATTTTTATTTGTGTTGAGAAGTATTCTTACAGAACACCAACTCCTTCCTGCCCTCTGTGCATACGCAAACAGAATACAATACCAAATCATGTTAATAAATTATAGGACTTGTAAAAACACAGCTTATTTTCCAGCCTACAACAGTTTACTGCAAAGCCATTTTCACCAATTGTATACAACATAATTACACACACATATACACACCTCCTCTCAGGCATTCATTTGGCTGCCAGCCTGTTAAATGCCTACGTTCTAGGAGGGAACATTAGAAAGGCAATACTTTAACTCATTACATGAACATTAAAAGGCATATTTGTATTTTAGATAGTACTTTATTGTATTCAAAAGCCACTGGAAATATTTTCCCAAATTACATGCTGTAAGAGCTCTAAACTTAAAAATGTATGAAAATTATAGTTCCCTACCCCATCCCAATCCAACTTGTATTGTAAAGTAAACTTACTGACAACATTGCCTCCTCTAGAAATAGAAACTCTTTCAGTGTATGCATGGGGAGGCTTTTTAAAGGAAGGGGAAAGGGAAAGCTCACACCAGTGATAAATTTGGCCAGTAAAATTACTTTTTTTATTTTTTTTTTTTTTATTTTTTGTTAAATAGAAGGGCTTATACAATTGAGTATAAAGATATTTAAAGAACGTGGAAATGAAATGAAAAAAAGTGTCTGGAGGGAATTCTTTTTATTGAGGAAGAGTTTACATATCTAAGTTTAAGTATCCACCTACTTTTTGCTGCCTCCTGTTAACACGCATACTGAAAATACTGCACTGAGCATATGCATGGAAAACACAGCTAATAAAGCAAGAAATATGGTAAATACATTTCATACAACCTTAAAATAAGTCAATCATACAATGAACTCTGAAGCACTTCTGGGATCTGGGATCTTAAGATGACGTTCACTGTTCTGAAGTGTTTACAAATTGACACTTTTTTGTAGAAATATTTTTGTATTGGTTAATAAAACCACAGCCTTAAGATTGTTGGCTTTCAGTTACAGAGGTAACAGAGAGGTATCATCTGAATTCACATCAGAGCTTTTTAAAAAAAAAAAAAAAAATGGCAGCAGTACAAGCATGTGCCTCCTCCAGTGTCCACAACTCTTTGTGGCTTTGCCATGGCCAAGGAATAGAGCTACGCAGCTCAAAGCAGCCAGTCTCCCCAAATACTCTGAGACAGTCTGGCATCCGTTCTCTTGTTTACTGAAATAATGCCCTGCTAAATATAAAATGAAGCAGAAGAACCTCAACTAACCAAGAGAAGTTCCATACAAGTCTGTCAATAGTGAATACATCTGGGAATTAATTAACGAAAAAGGAACAGAATTTTATTCGACCAATCCATAAAGTGAGTTTATAGAAATGCTGCTCTGAAGATGGGAGAGAAGGAAGTTTCCATAACATACGCTGAGCCCATAGTAGAAATAAAATGTTACAGATGATTTGTTCAGGGATGATGTAAGTCAGGGATTTGTTCAGGGATGATGTGGAAAAGTTCGGTGTTTCAAACATCACTGTTGCTTCAATTCACTCTATGCACACTATGGGTTCATCTCAGAACCACCCTGAATAAATGCTCCAGCATAATGGACACAAAAGTAGCCGGTCTCTGATATTAAAATTATAATCAGTGGAAGAAAAGCTTTCACACACTTCAACATTTTATATTGCTCAGGCACTGAGGATCAATTATCTTCAGCACAGGAATTTTCAACTCTAGATTTCTGCTAGAGCTGCCATCCATTCTTCCCACACGTGAAAAACTGGGCTACATTTTATCCTTTTACTTCATCATAATTTGAATTTATTTACATACAAAACAAGAGACAGGAGAAAGTTCTCTTATATTAACCTCACAATGGGCACCTTCACCTTGTAATAAGGTGGCCTTAGGCAAGGCAGCTGCATTTACTTTAGGAGCATATATAAAATTCAGTGTGCAGGTATCAAACAAACAGTAATATCAGGTCATACAATGCCAATACATTCTGGTGGGCCCTAGACTGTTAAGTACAAAAAACCAAAGCCAAAGAACCAGAAAAACCCTCAAACTTTTCAACACTTTAGTTCTGTTTAGAATGCTACACAATGAATAAATTACATCTTTCTGGGATAGTGTTGCTTTTACTCCTACATCTCAAAGAAATTCCAAGCTAATTAATTAGAGCAAGAAATTACATTGAGCAGGATAACGTTTTTAAATATAAGAAATGACTTAGAAACACCAATCAAAGATAATTTGATTATGATTAGCTGTGCTGAAGTCTAAGTCATTAAAATTGATGAAGAATGTTTTTACACTGGTCTATTCTATGTAATCCATTACCTATGCTATGCTCTGTAGTTCAAGTCTAACAAACGGTATCTGATAATTCAGTATTGAAGACTAAAAGACTTTCAATGCACCACTTGCTTTCCTACACTGACATGTTGCCAATAAAAAAAATCAGTAGCAAGTAGATTTGCAAAATTCTTCACTGGGAGAATTTTAGCTTATATGAAATATTATCCAGATTTTTACCTGCTCACCTTCTACATAGTCATGTTTAAATATGGCTGCTGCTTTATTCTGAACAGTCATTATCCCACAAAAGTTACAACTGTGGTTTGGTAAGAAATCATTCCCTGTGCTTTCTAACAACCGAGGCCTGCCCAAAGGTACAAATTTTCTTTCCATGCTCTCAGCTGAAGTGACGAGCGAGACGAGCAGACCTATAATCAACACGCAGCTGAACAAAGGAGTGAAGGATGTTTTTGTCCAGATTAGCAAGTTGTTCTCCTGAGCAAACTTGCTTTAAATTATCCGGGGCTACAACCAGAAGATTGCAAAGTGCATGCAAGGTATCAAAGAGTTGTAACACCAGCGCAATCTGTGGTTAAGAGAAAGAAAAAAAAAACAGAACAGATATTAAGAGTCAGAGTTGCTTCAAGTCTAATAACACAGTGTCCATCTAGATCTTCAAAACACTTCCTCCTGACAGAGGAGTCACATCCATCGTTCTCTCCTCATGTGCATAAATATAGAGACACACACACATATGCATCTGCAGGGAGATGCACACACACAGAGTTATGCATAGAACACATAATAATGCAAACTCAACACTTCTTCAGTATACACACAGAGCCTGCAAGCAGTAAAATGGTAACAGGAAAAAACTGATCTTTGGGGCATGATAAAGAACTGCTGGTATAGTAACAGAATGTATAACTTCAGTACACAAAATGGTGATGTTCAAACAGAAACAAACTATTTTTATGAAGAAAAAACATCTGATTAAAAATAAGTGTCCTGCTACTAATTATGACATGGCTGTACATCACCAACCTGTAACATGCCTACCTTGAAGTCTTTGGCACACTTCCGATATTCAGCAACATCACAAATGGCTAACATGCCTCCCATGCAACTGTAGGAATATTGCTGCAGGTGCTCATAGATAAGTCGATGAAAACGAACTCCAAGCTCCATCAAAACTGTGTCCACATTCTTACCATCCATAGAATTTCTAATCTTTTCCACCTGCTTTCTAACATAGCCACAGACTTTAACACAAGCCTAAAGAAAAAAAAACAAAAAAAAAGAATTGGTTAACTTCTTAGAAATTTGTTATTCTCAAAGTTGCTTCCTCATCATAAGCTGAACATCGGTCACTAAGTCTTTAAACTTCCCACAACACAACACTGAAATCAGTCATTTTCCAATTAATAATTTTCCAACAGCTTTTTATTTACCACATAAAGATGTAAAAATGCAAGTAGAGAGATGGATGCAAGATAATAGTCAATTAAGTTACAGTTTGTATCAGTTCAGAATAGAACAATTTAATCTGGGCTTTTAATTCAAACAATGATCAACCAAGGCGGGGGGCAGGGTGGGGAGAGGGAAGTGATTAAAATCCTCTTGTCAGCTGCCCCAATAAACCCAAATCAACATAAAACCAAATTAACAGCCATACAGGCATCTTCACCCTTCCCACATCGTCCAGACTCTCGGTTCTACTGTCCCACTTCTACTCCCACCTGGCCGCAGGCATTCAGGCAGTGCTCTCACTTCTTCCCATTCACTGTAGTTCGTTCTCTTCTCCTCTCTGCAATGTTCTCTAACAAGAGCCTAACACAACCCAGAACTACAGCTCCCCAGCAGCCCGTAGGCTGGGATTCAGACAGATTCAGTGGTAGAGACAATATTCTGCAGCAAAGACTGTTCATGTCATACCCACGATGCTTTGTCATGTTCCTGCCATTCCAAGGGGAAAAATTAAAACAAACCAAACCAAAACAAAAAATGCCCAGCAACTAGAGAGTACCCGATAATTTGATTTTTTGAAACAGATACCTTAAAGCTAATTATCAGCTAAAAACCTTGTTCCAAATCTGGGCCTCTTGGGAGGGGAAAGACTGGGACAGTTTGTTCAGCACCTACTGATTTGCGTCCGACACTAGATATAAAACTGCTAATGTTCCTTTTCAGCTTGAGAAAATAGTCCACAGCAGAGTTTGGAGGTGCTTAGTCAAAATGGAATAGCTAATAAATTAACCAAATGCACATGTGGTCTAATGCATATTTGGTAAGGAACATCTTGTACCTGATAACATTCATGAGCATCTGAAGCTATACCGATGAGCTGGGACTTAGTTTACTTACATTGGTATACTGAATCAAAACATTGTTTTCATCTTCTGGTTTAAAATCTGTCTTCTTTTGCTCTGCAGCCAAGATGTGCTTCATCTGTCCAATCATACAATTCAGTGTCCTTTAAAGTTACAAATACAGATTGGGTTTTGAAGGGAAAATTTTAATTTCCTTGATTTTTATATTTACAGATATTAATATGATTCTATATAAAAGTAAGCAGCCTAAAGCAGTGAGGAAAAAAACCCACTAACATTTGAGTAATCTACAAAATATACACTAAAAGCAATGTATATAAGAAGCAAGTGGTGCTAGGACATGTCAAAGGAAATGCTTTGTTTATCAGACATGCACACACACATATGCACTCTTCTGAAGTTGCAATGCAATTCTATAGAGAAGATACACTTTATTTCATGTAAACAGTTAGAAAAACGAGAATCAGCCAAAACAACCCCAACAACCTCCAAGTTCAGTTTCTTGGACCACAGCACACAGTATGCTGGCCAGCTGGTTTTAAAGGGGACACATTAATTGTAAGGTAATCCATTCAAATCCAGCTCTTCAGAGAAACTGCACAGCATTCTTCAATGCAGAGGGAATCAGAAAGCTGAAGGAAGCATTCCAAAGAGTTTAGTAGAATTAGATCACATTGCATGTTACTATTCAGAAGCAAACATCAGAAAACACTTAGAAAATGAAGGAGGGAAGGAAAAAAAAAGGCAGGGGTGTGGGGAGAGGGGGGGAAGGAAAACCTCTTCCTTTGCCAGAGCTTGGTATTTCTGTTGTTCTCAGAAATCTAATAGAGTTTTACAGTGTCATTTATTTCTCCCTTGTAGGATTTATCTTTTCAGAACATTATCTAAGGTCAAGGCCCTGGTTTACTTTAAGTCCAAATCAAAGGTCAAACAGCAAAGCAGCCAAGAGAGGCAGCATACCTCTCTCAGTGACTACCTTTGCCAGGAACATCCCTTTGTCTCCCCCTTTTTTTGTCTCTACTTTTCTTCACTCCCCTTATCCCTCCAACCTCCCCAAAGGAAACACAGTCAAGGCCATTATAGGCCTTGAATGATTCAAGCTGGGGTGCAGGGGAGAAGAAGGTATGTATCCAAAGAGGGAATAAACTCCTTTTTTTTCTATGCATAAAGTTCAGACTTGCATTTCAGGTTTACTTCATTCAACAGTCCACATACCAAAATAAATTCAAAGAAATCGTATTTTGCATTCTCCTCAATTTCCATTTTCAATAAATACTCCCCAGAAGGCTGTTTACACAGAACACATACTGAAAGAAACCGGTTGAACTAATTTTGTTTGACTGATAAATCACTTTCACAGAGGCAGACAATTGCTATGAATGGCATTCAAGAAACTGCTACTGGACTTTTCAACATTATCCAAACTGAAAACCATCAATGTTAAAAAATAAAAGCGAATTCCTAAAACTTGATCATTCCTTTAAGTTAGGCAATCAATTCTCAACAGCATCAGTGGCACTATGAAGCAGCATGTAAGCAGGCACACAAGCACATTTTACATGTAACCTTCATCTCAAAACTAATCTTTTATATGCGCCAAAGCACAAATTGTTTTTGAAATCTCCATCTACAAACCTCTGAACATACTGTTTTCCAACAGGAACTTTTTCTCCCAAATCTTACTGTCACTTTTAAGAGATTAATTATTTTACACAAACAGACAGAAACTATTCTAATGCTGATGATCAACCTGTATCTGTCTAGATCTAAGCTTACGGCCTCAATGGTTCAAGTATTTCAAACTTTGTGTTTAACCATCTAAGGTCACTTCAGCAGGAGCAACCAAAATCTCAGTTGCCACTTCCACAGCCCTTATCTCCACCTTTCCTTTTGTACCTACAGAAAACACAGGTGCAAATAATGCATTAAATCTCTTCCTCATCTCTCCGGTAGGACACAAATGCCATGCCTGGTTTTCCTATACAGTGCTTTTCTTGTTTCTCTCCAGTATGGCGTGATCCTTACAAAAACCTCAATAACTATTTCCAGAGTAGCCCTCGTGACCCACAGGTTGACTTTTTTCCATTACTGCAAAGAGAAAACAGGCACAGAAAGCTTAGGTAACATGTTCTAAGTCGACTAATGCCACCCTGAAATATGGAAACACTACATGCTTGCTGGACCAAAGTAGGGCAACACACCAGCAGCTCCATTTGTTAATATTAAGCATGTTAGTTTGTTATTTTCCTCTACTGCAAAGCAGCTATGATTTTAATTTACAGGGTTTTTTATAGCTATCCCCTCATTTTCATTTGGAGAAACATAAAGAAAAAAAGGAAAGATTAAATGAGTCACTCACAACCTCAAAGCAAGTCAATGTCAGAATCAGAATTATTCCAGGTCTACAGATTTCTATGACTAGGTCTAATCCATAGCACTGCACAGATTCAAGCAAATCATCTAACCTATTTTTGTCAAACTTTGCTCCTAATGGAAATCCGGCAAGTCTTTAACCTATTTCAATCATAATTTCTCCCTCATTTAAAGCAGAAAAAGTAGTTTGAGACAATAAGGCAAAATTGAATCATTGCACTCTTTCAGTATAATCAAAATCCTGTAACGTCATTCCAGAAGTATTTAAGGGTCAGAAATCTGCCTTGGAAAATATGACCCTCTAAAACAAAAACCTGAATTTCCTATGCACAATAATGCATACTTATGGATTTAAAAAAAACCAAACTCATTTTGTGTTCAGAAATAATTTATCCTTAAAAGGAAAGCTAATGTACATCACAAAGGAGTTTTACAAAAATTAATGATTAACAGAAAGTTTAAATCTCTACTTGCCTATCAATGCCCATATCCAGCTTCACTTCCATTTGTTCTATGATATCCTTTTTCTTCTGCAGGCATTCAGATAATTTAGGAGAAGAACTGCAACAGCATAGAGGGTTGGGTGTATAACAGCGTTAAAATATCAAACCAAATCTGTCTGCTGGGTCTGCTACCTCCAACAGGATTTTATGAAGATTTCCCGTCCCCTCAGAAAGGGCTAGTTTAGATGGAGTTAGCTGGCTTCAGAACAACAACTTCACAGCCTGCACAGCCACCTGCCCCCGCAGAGGATGTGCTGAGGAGGGCAGCACTGGGCCGTGCCTCTCGGCGGCTGCCAGCCCCGGCGGGGGAGCCAGAAAACCCAGCTTTTCAGGCACGCTCAGTCCCAGCACATCAGTGCGCGCTACCTCGAGCGTATCCAACCCCTGACTCCCAACACCACGCAGCGCTCGTGTAGCTCGTGTGTGGCTCCCAAGGCATGGGCAGCTGCTCCTGCCGCAGAGCCTGCGAGGTGCCCCCGGGAGCAGCAGCTCACCCCAAGGAGCAGCCACAAACCCCCTCTAGTCCTGGCCTGGAATGCAGCAGTGAGGTCTAAGGAGCAACATGTCCCTCCTTCCCATCAACACCCTTGGAGCGAGCTCTCTCATTAGTTCCCCAAAGTACTGACTTGTTTAACTTCCCTTCTTCCCCCTCTCATTACAGCATTTTATCTTCCCACAACATCAAGCTGAACCACTCCAAGAATAAAGTCCTCTTAACAGATATGAAGAACGAAAAAAATTGCTTTCTTCACCAAAAATCACCATTCAGTAGGAAATGCTATTCACAATAAAGGTACCTGATCAATGGCATCAGATGATCATTGAACTGCTTGTCAAATAAATGGAAAATAGTATTGGCCTGGTGGACAACATCCAAGAAATAGAGATTTGCGTTCTTTGAATCAGAAGAGGGAATGCCTAAAGCAAAGACAGTTTCATTAGGATTGTAACGATATGCAGTTTTTGTAATTACCATGACAATTTTTTAAGTATGCAGAATTTTTCCATGAATGCTTAAATCACAGGCTTAGATTTGCAAAAATTTACCATGGTGCCATATATAGAACACTTCTCATAGCTGTATCAGGTAATAATCATAAGCACAGAAATATCTTGCTTTTAAAATTTCTAAAAGCAAAATGAAACATCCAATTTAAATACTTCTTCAGAACAAAACTTTTATGCTTTCATGTAGGAAAAATAGGTTCTCACTGTCAAAATTTTAACTACTTCAATAGATGCAGTTTTCGTATTTGCTGTCACTCTTTAAAGTGCATAAGCATAAAAACAAGCATGGAATTCTTATGAAACGTAAGACACTAAGCCTTAATATAAAAATACTCCCCTGCTATGGCACAGAGAACAATTAATGAAGTCAAGAGTGCTGATGTCCCAGGTTTCTGTGATATAAATGTTTCTGAAGACAGTAGCATGTTTCCAACTGTGCATCAGTTCCCCAAATGGAAGTTACACTTTAGAAGACATTAAATGCTGATTCCCAAATATACAAAACAAATTTAATTTAACCAGTACATTCTGAACAACGCCAATCAATAAGGCACAGCAAGGACCTGCAAAGATCATCTGTACTAAAAGGCCAATGAGATGAAATGCTCAGAAAGTATTATACTCACCAGCAAGGCCTGTTTCTAATGCATAATCGATGTGTTCAGTACATAAGAACTCTACAAGCATAGAAAAAATTCTGAAAGCGTTCTTCGGTAAGTCCGATGGATCAGAGAGCTTTAAAGAAAAAAAAAAAAATCCTAAAGGTCAGTTCTACACTCATTTGAAAGTTTATCAGATATTGCATAGATGATAAGCTTAAAATGTAACAAGTATTCCAGAATAATTGGAATTTTATTCTAAATTGAATGTATTCATATAGAGAACTGTTCCAAAACAGCCTTTAGTATCAATAAACTCTTCACCATTAACAAGTGAACTGAAGCTAGCATGCCATAGGACGCTACAAAAAGCAAAAGTATAAATAGTTTCTAATATTAATAATAGTAATAATAAAGGAAGATATTAATAGTCCTTAAAACACGATTGTCCAGATGTCATTTCAGGAATTACCTAAACCATGTACCACTGGGATGGATGCTGGTCAAATGTATACAGAAAAGATGACCCTATCCATACCCTGCCTTTTTTCTCTTTTACTAAGCTTCTGCCAGAAACAGGACACTGGGTTTGATGGACCTTTAGTCTCACCCAGTGCGGCTCTTCTTTTATCACTGCCACAGTACTGCAGAAAAAAATACAGACTGAACCTCAGCTACATTTATCACAGTTCAGCTGGAGTCAATGGAGCATGAAAATTTTTATTAAGTGAAGTAATGCCCACATACACACAGAGCATCTGTACCTTCATGAGCTGTAAGCAACATGGGATTTCGGACAGCAACCTGTCAGTAAATCCCTTTTCTAAAGAAAAAAGGGACAGGGCTTTTGCATATAAGAAATACAGCTTTGGTTTTTAAGGAATTACACGAAGACTTCAGGAAGCTAGGAGTAAGAAAGATTACTGTGCCAATTCAAGTTAATTTACGTAACAACACTCCCAAAGATTTCTGCTCTCTGTGTCCTGCTTCTGTATTCCCCAAAAAACAAAACAACCCCCCCCAAACAACAAAACACTATTACAGACATTTCCAAACACTGAAATGTTGCAACATACATTTTCATTTAGAATTACCAATCTATTTTTCCTAAAGCAGTCGCATTTGGGACAGACACTGTATCTCCACACATCTGTTATGTGATATAAATATCACAATTAGTTAGCCAGGGACACGTTTATCATCTTTTGCATAGTGAGTTACCCTGACCACAAACAAAACCCTAGCAGCTTGTATGGTAACAGAGAAGCTATAAACCTGTAATTCTAAAAATCCAAAATCCATTTAGCACTGGTTTACACCCCAACACATACAATTGTTTTCAGACCACATATGAAAAATTCTGATCCCCACAGGAAAGGGGGAAAAAAAAAAGTATACAATTAGAAAATGTTAGTTTATATTATGAATTATACAACCATTTCTAGCAGCTACCATATTGAGAAAAACAATGATCTACCTGCCTGTCCTGCAGTCACTGGCTTTCACCACTAGGAAAGTGATCATCCCAGTGTGCAGAGGTAACAGTGCTGTATCTATATTTGTTATATCTTTGACTCTTCCAAGTATATATTAGAATTTCTAAATATCTAAAACATTAAGGTTTCTGCACTAAGCTAATTTAGAATGTTAGAGGTATTAAAATTTGTTAGAAATCACTGTAGTTAGCTAATTAAAAAATCCCTAGCATTTAATTTTGCAATTAAGTTTCAAGGGTTTTTATTTACATTAAAGTATCAGACAAACAGTAATTGACAGGCAGCAAAACCAGCGATTTAATCAGAAGGAAAACACTTTTTTTTTGTTAGACCAAAGCATTTAAAGAACAGTAGAGGGTTACCACAGTAAACCATGTTAAAGATTATTCTTCTCAGCATTTTACTGGTGATATTCTCTACTGCTAGAAATGGCACTTGACACAGGAAAATAACTGTTGAACTATTCTCTATATTTTTAAAGCAGGAAAAAAAAATGACATGAAAGGTTTCTCAAGTCTTGGGTCTAATTTAGTAAGAAAAGCAATGTAGATAGTAGGTTTAACCCTCCCCACTTCTTCCAAAAGTAGACAATATTAAAAACCACAAAATACAACTAGACCCACATTTAAAAAGCAAAACCTTAGCCTCCACCATGACTGATTCAGTGAAAAATACAAAAGAGAATTGATCTGTTTAATAATGTCCTTCCTTTCTTCCTTCAACTGAAAATTGAACCTCAAGATTTAATTTCACGCACAAAATTGTATCACTAATGGAGATCACAGGAAGCCAACTTACCCTGTGACACCTTTCAAAAGCTTGCTTAGTTTCTTGCAAAAGGTTAACCACCACTTCTTGTGACAGAAAAGTTTCTCCGTGTGTGTCAATACTTGGCCCCAATGGTAAATTTGTACGTTGCCTTATTCTCTCTTTGAGGTCTTGAATACTAGAACAAAGATATACCAAAAGGCAATTTCACTGGATGGAAATTTTGAAGCTCAAATTCAACAATGATTTAGGGTATTTTAGTTGTTAACTTAAACAGAACCCAGGACACACTTTAGGATATGCAAGCATTAAGACAGTCTTGCAAGCTTAAAAAAATATTGCCAGTAAATGCAAAACTACCAGCTCTGATCCCATGGTCAACTGTGTTCTACCATGGCACATCCACACCATGGGACCAGCTATTCCCCACTGTGGAGTAAGAGTAATTTCAATTGAATCCTATGACACTTATGCTCTGCGGACAAAGTTTAGCCTCCATACGTTCTGTCACACTGCACTTTCAAAACACTAATGGGAGCTTTCTATCTCATCCACACCCACAAATCCTCTCATCCTCATCCACTATCTCAGCAGTCCTGATTTAGTCAAGCATGCGCCAGCACATTTCCATGCATAAAACAATCCATAAAGTCAGTCACTACAGTCAATTTAATTTCCCCAAGAAAATTATATCTTCATCTTTGTTTCTTAATTCATTTAATTACTCTGCTGCTGCTGTTCTCTCCAAATCATTTTTCATTCCTGACACACTGAACCCAGTAGCTCTTTGAAAGGTGCAGTAGTCTTATCACCTCTGCTTCACATAAGTTTTAATTCTTCCTTCCCCACTTGTCACTAGTCCTTTATTAGAATTTCTCTACCCTGAGGATAATGAAGTCTTGTTTTACCTTTCTCTAAGTCCATTGCATCTTCTGGGCTCATTAAGAGCTTTCTCACTGACACTGCTATGGTCTTTTCCCCTTCCTAGGTCTTGGGAGGGGACCACAAGACCTGGGCAGGTGAAAAAAAATGTATGCTTTTAGATACACACATATACATGCTTTAGGTACCTTAATTTTGCTTCAGTCCTTTTGTGGGTCTGGATCCTAAGTTGAAACATAGGTTTAACTGGTATTTTTCACTTCCGATGAGCGAATAAATACCATGCATAACCTTTCACATGTACCGAGAGCAATACCCTTTTTTTAGCAGAAGTGACAGCAAATTATAAACAGCTGTAGGTCATTTTAGAAGCCTGCTCTTTTGCAGTTCATCACTGTACATCTGACATGGCAAATACTAAGTTTATCCCCTTTACCGCCTCCCTTCCATTTTAAAAGTACAAAATTTCACAGAAGAAACTTACCCTCCAGTGCCAATGGACCTCTTCTGGTGGTTTTTGGAATCATAATAGCGTTGCAGAATCATAGCACTCCTACTTTTCAAATAACCGATTTCCACCTCAATGTAATTCTCCAAGTAGGAAATGAAAATGGATTTGATAAGCTTAGACAAGAAAGTCTGCTTATCAGTACCCAAGTTAAATTCCATCAATTTGCTTGACAGATTAGTAGTTCTTTATGCAAAAGAAACAAAGAAGGGGAGAGAAGGAAAAGGTTGAATTTGTATGAATTACAGCATTACATGTTTGTAAAGTACATACCACAACAGACTCCTGATTGTGATTAAGACTTCTAGCAGCTTTACATTTAAGCAAAGAATTTTCCATAATTCATGTTTAATTACATACAGTACAACTACAATCAAATAAGTCACCAGTGAGATGCAGAGGACTGGCTTTTGCAGAGTTTTAAAATTACTCTCAAATATCACTATACTAAATACATCCCATTAAAAATAGTAATGGCAATTTTAAATCTTCTTCAAGCAAGCAATCATTGTAAAGGTTAATGGACATAATATTTTTTCAATTTTTATGAGGAGTTTACATTTTTGGCTTTTCTTCCTACATCTTGATAATAAGCCAAATCTATTACAAGAGAATATCTACAACAATAATTTCATCATCAATATATCAATACCTTGTATATAGATCATAGAGATTCTTAAGATACTGTTCTGCATCTGATTTCCTGTGTTCTTCTAGCTGGTCCTTTACATAACTCTGTAAAATTTGGGTACATCTGTTAGAAGATTAACTAGTAACCAGAGGTCATACTCACTATTTACTAGATTAGATGTAGTTTATTGCTAAGTGTATCTCTCACTTAAGGTAATTCATATATTCTTTGTCTTTAAAACTCTAATTTACAGATCCTGCATTACCTACACGTAGAGTTAAATGTATCTTTTAGAAGAAAATGATTTAATAATACAAAGCAGTAGGGTGTGAAGCAAAGACAAAAACAGATTGCTTTGAAAATATGTTTGACCAGCATACACAAAATCCCCTCTTTTTAAGAATCAAAAGCACTGGAGGCCTAGTGGCATTCTGCAGTTGACAGTAAGCAAAGGAGATGCTTATATATTTGCTTACCATAACACATACACAAAGCAGATACAAGCTTAGAGCCTTCTTGCTACTGAATACTTGGACAAAAGTATCATTTGCCATAAAATACTAAGTCAAAATTGACACACAAATTTGGAGTTGAAACACAAGCTCAATCTCTACACTACAAGGAGAATAACATCCACAGGGAAATTGCTTTTTGCAACGAATAGTCATGTTGACTTTATGCACTTAAGTGAGTGTATTTGCAGGATGGAAAACAGTATTTTCAACCATTTTAGACTTTTACATAAATATTTCATTAGATGTGAGACAGTATTCATAATGTAAGTTTTTTTTCACTTATTCAATGCTAACCTCACACACGAAACCCAATTACAAGAATGAACAGATAAAAGATACTTATTAGATGTGAACCTTCTTTTCCTGACATTCTTGGCAGGAGGCATACAGAAGAAATCAAACAGGTGTATCACATCTTCTTAAGCACTCAGTAAACATACTGATTCCCTTATTATTTTACATACTGAATTTGAATGTTTTTCAGTCACACTGTATTCACAGCACAAGCAGCTTTATTTGATATAGGCTTGATTATGTGAATTGTTACAGACGAGAACTGTGATTCTACATCCTTATACAAGATCACAAATACTATAATTTCTCATTAATTAATTTTTTGGGTGAAAAGTTTCTTCAGTTAATTTTAACATATTAAAATTTGAAATACCTGAAGTTTTACTTCAAAGATATTTTGAATGAGTTTGGCTAGCACAGTCTCTGGATTGCTAAAGACTTCTCCAACTTGCTTATTCACTCGCTGGCAGAGAATGGCTGCATCTTCAAAGACGTCATTCCTCAGGAATGCACCCTAGGGTTTTAGAAGCACATTTCATAATATATTTACCACAACCTATACAACTAAATAAATCAACACCCAGAGATACATGTAAAACAAAATTTGTTACCTCTTGACACTGTTTTATGTACACATCAACGCAATGGGAATAGCCCTATGGAAGGAGCAAAACAACTCAGTGTTAAAGCAGGTTGTCCACGCTTTCAGTATGGAATGAAATCAAGGAAATACAATCCCTGTGAAAAAGTTATTGGAAAAAAATAGATTCATCAAAAGTGTAGACTCTTTCAAACCCATTTTTGTCACAAACCTAGAGTAACTTCACTTATCACCACTCTACATGGATCTACACCACAGGTTTCAACACACTTTCTCAAGTACGAAAGTCAGTTCACAAGCATACAAGAAAAAATTATTTTAGAATGGTCTCTACTGATACTGTCTCCAACTGGGCATCATCTGCCTCCTTTATTCCCCTGCATTTGATTTCAGATGGAACATCTTGGTAATTCTAAAGTTATACATGTTATCTGATATGGTGGTTGTGCCCATGCAAATAAGTTCACTTAAAACAGGCACTCATTGTATCATGCATTGTTTTACTTATGCATTTCAATTAAACCCCTCTGATTTTACCTTAAAATGAAGCAAAACTGCTGCTACTTCTCTCATTCTGGAAATTTCACCTCTCCGCTGTGCACCGGTAAATTCCTGAATTAGCTGGCACTCTAAATCATGGTACTTACCTGGAGAGGAAAGGGGATAACAACAAAAATCCATCAGGCTACGCAATACAAGCACTGACAAAAACTGTAATACTGACACTACTGCAAACTTTTAAAATCATCTTTAACAATTCAAATATAGGAATATGGATTGAACTGGATAGATAACTTACTTGCTATCTTTGATTTTACTTCAGAAAACCTGTTAACAACAAAAAAATACCATGATTAAATTCAAATCCACCATCACAAGAGAAATCACTGACATTCTAAGTCATGACTAACAGGCACTCTACTCAAAAATTAAAACATGGAACACAAAGATGACAGAAAAGTTACATGCTTTATATCTGTATAAACCTACAAGCATCTAATTCAAATCTAGCATTAAGTCAGCACAGCAAAATTATCCCATTAAAAGTCTGTTAAGCAGTTTAGGATGTATATGTAAAGATGATCCTACAACATGAGTGCGTGAACACAAACTTGAGAATAGAGGAGAGAGAAATAAGTACACAATCCATCTCAAAAGCCATATGAATCACTAAGCAAAGCACCAAAAAAAGTAGACACGTATCAGAATATTATAGCTATGTGACATTTTTTTTTTAAAAAGATGTTCAGATAGAATTTTACCTGTCAAAAGGCAGTTCCTGTGCAATCAAATGCAGTTTCTGAATAATATCAGCTGCCTCTTTAATCTGTTAAGAGCAAAATATGAATTATTAAAGGTCTGATTGTGGGCTACTCCTTTCCTCCCCCTCCACTGTCCAATTTTCATACACGTCATTTAGAAAACTAAAGCTGGTTGACCTGATATACCCTTGGAAGAGAGCACCCCTTCAAAGTTCCTGTACGCACTTCTATGATGCCTAAGGCATTTGTTTGTTTGGTTTTTGTTTTTTTTTTTTTTTTTTGTGTTTTGTTTTTTGTTTTGTTTTTTGTTGTTGTTGTTGTTTTTTTGGTTTTTGGTTTTTTAACAAAGTTATATAGGTTAAAATACGATAAAAAGTCTTGTTCTGTGTTCATATTGGGCATGTCTGTGTAGGTGTGTAAGCTACCTGGACAAATAGCTCATCACTGCACACAGGTACACAGCGTGCAGACCAAAGATTCCTCAGTGATGATTAGATCAGAATGCAGATAGAGCAATCTCATGAAAATTTGCAACCTTCCATTTGGGAATGAAATATGTAACTAACACAGAGCTGGCTGAAATACAACATTTTACTTTACAGTTGATTAGGATAAAAGCCTTACTGACTCATGCCCAACCAAAAGAGATCTTTGTTGAACTCCAAAGGGAAATGACTAGCAACCCTTTCAGACATGTCAGAAAAAGCACTAGGGGATTCTTTGCAACTGATGAAATTAGAATTAGCTGTAGCCAAAAAAGCTATGACAATGCTTGGGCATGGCTGTGAGAGGGAGGGGAAAAAGTAGATCAAAGCAGAGCATGGTTGCAATACTTCACATTCTCCCAAGGAAGGAGAAAGGGAAGCTGTATTAGAAATTATAAACTGAGGTCCAAAGCAAAGATCAAGATGAAAGTCAGATGATCATGTATCTACAAAATAGGAACAGTCACTTGAATACAAAAGCCAACAAAAAAAGTTAATGCAGCATGCAAATTTCTGCTCTGTCCTGGACAGCAAAATCTTTTATCATTCATTCTTCTACAGTCAATTGGCACGCGAAGCGCACTGAAGTAGTGCTTAGTGTTTGTTTCTCTAGGCTGATTAAAACTATTGAAAACACCAGTTTGAAAATGGGGGGAATGCAGCTGGTTGCAACTGAAGTTCAGTGGATTTAAGCGCACAGTGTTCACTGGCCCAAACCAGAAGCAGCTCTGGGATGGTTTTACAGGCATCTTGGTGACTGGATGGCACCTCAAAGGCTGCCTTCGATGGAAGCTCTAGATACTACATTCAAGCAAAATGTTTATAAGTTGACATAGAGAACACGGAGAATGTGCAATTTATCTTGTTCTTCCTGTTAGTCATGTTCCAGGGAACTGGAGTGAAAGGAAAGAATAATGAAATTCTGTTCTCCCACCACTTAGAGCAGGTTGGGATTAAAACTTTTCAAGAATACAAGACACACAGGTAAAAATAGAGCACAGGCATCATGCTAGGTTGGTTGCTCAGAAAAAAAGAGAGGCTCTCAAAGTATATCCATTCTACTTAATAAGAGCAGCTTATTTTTTGAACTGTCAGCTTACAATAGCCTCTTAAGTCAAAAGCAGCTATGCTCCTCAAATAAATCCAATGAAACAGCGGTTATTTCTATTAGCTTACAGTAACCTTAATACCTAACAATTGTGATCAATACTGATGTCATTAGAATAGTCTATACATTAGCAGTTATTCACTGATGTTACAAAAAAAATTTTTTTTTCTGTCTTCTCTTCACACAATAGCTGCTAACTTACTTAGATTCTTAGATTTTATTGAATTCAGGGCCTTTTCTTATGCACACGAGAAGCCATGACAAATCAATTCTCCATGGTTTCTGCTTAATTTTGGACATATTTCATTTTTAATTGAATCAGGCTTCTATAAATTATTAAATCAAAATATAGATTCTGTAAAATATAACTTAAAGGCTGTAACATATCTGCAAAAAAATCTGAAAACTCATGGACAAATAATGGCAAGAAAGAATTGTAACACAAAATATTTTTATGAACAAGCTAAAAGGCATAATGGAATAACTTCAAGTACATAACAAATGGAGAAAAAGATCTAAGAACAATAGTAAACATTAAACACAGACCAATGCAATTGCATGATAAACAAGTGAGCTGCTAGATCATTTTGATAGCTTAATTGTTTTGACTGGAGTGATCTGCTCACTTGAAGACTTTTCAATACAGAAGAGGGACTGGTTAGCTGGCAGTGCAAGGGAAATTATAAGGATTCAGAGGATGAAGACACAATATATAGCATGGAACAAGGCAGCAATGAAAAACCTTTAGAGACAGTAAGTTAGAAATTGCTCAGTACAGCTAGGAGAAAGTAACGTGAGAAGCAACAACCTGAGTGTAGGAAAAATTAAAAGGGATCCAACAGATTTTAAGAACTTACACTACTGAGAAAAATATGAATGCCCTAGGAAATAACTGCATTATAATTCCTTTCTTGCCTCTCCTTTCACAGTATCCCCTGCCCTCAGTCTCTCAAAGAAAAACCCACACGTGAGGGACAGCATAGTACCAAAAAAAATCATAACATCCTCCAAAACACTATTGAAAACCCACATCAGTTCAAAGATCATAAGATCTGACAAAGCATGAAAGTGTTACATTTAAGAATATGTGTTACTATCTCATACTTCAGAACTATTTTTAGTTCAAAGATGCTATAGCACATGTCTAGGCAGGTTCTTTTATAAGCACTGCTACTATTCGAACTAGGAGGCAAAAAGATACAGAGCAGTACTAACCCACCTTCACTGAAACTAATCTCTGCAGGGTAACTTGTATCCAGAAAATCTTGTTTGTGTTCCCACACGCTCCCTCTGCAGACTGCCACAAGACTTCTGGCCTTTGCTACGTTTGCCTTCCTCCAGATTTGCTGAATATATTATTATTCTTCAGGGTGTATGACGACTAATTTGTTTACTAATTTTATTTTCAGGTTTACCCTATTTATCTACCAGTTTTTTCAGATCTTCCAACAGAAAGTATTATGAAACTTTATAAGTAAAGTGAAAGTTGAATTCTCCATGAGACTTCAGCAGACAACACATAATTATCTTTAACTTATGCTTTGTTATTTACCATGTTGACATCAAATATTTTTAAAACACCCATTTTATTTCTACATAGGAGAAAGACAAAAAACAAAAATAAAAACTTATGCAGATCTGGAAAAGACTGTCCATAGAAGAAATTCCTTTATGTTGAAATCTTTCTGTTTTCCTTTGTGTGCTCCCCCTTTGATTAGGACAAACTATCAACTGGTAATTACCACATATCCACAGACCATGAACTGAAAGTCACTATGCAACAGACTTCTTGGGAATACAATTGTATGAAATTATTAGTTTCTCATTTCCCTGAGAGATACCTTCAGCTCAGTAGAGAGGGGATGACTATTAACCTATTCTTGGGTTCTTTATGAACTGCATCTCAAGCACATATTTTTTGCTGAACGTGCAAACCAAGTTTTTGCTGTCCCCACATGCTATAATTTTTTCCTAACTACAATCATACCACTGCACAGAACTTAAGGGGAACAGGAAGAGTCTTTAGAACATGTCCGGGAAAAAAACAAAACAAAACAAAACAAAACAAGTTTACTTATGTTTCAAACTGCATAGAGAAGTCTAGTATGTACCCTTTTGCTTACTGCTAGACATTTTTCTTCAGTTTATTTCTATTAGCCACACCATTCAGATTATATTTTCTTCACGAACATACTCTTGAAGCATAAGAAAAACAAAATGGTTTAACATTTCTTTGAAGTTTTCCTGCACAGTTCCTCTAAATTCAGAGGGTGGAGACATAACCACAGGACTATACAAAGACCAAAGGCATGCTGTGACAAAAAGGTATCCAAGGCCAGTGGACTGACCCAACAGAGTAAAGTCTCACAAAGAAGTTGCATTCAGAAACGTTCTGCATTACAGGGTGGATCTGAGGCAAGGGGTTCAAAGGAAAAAGGCAGATATTGTATGCACTCTAAAGTTGCCCTCCCAGCGTTTCTCAAATCTCTGATAATTTCATAAAATGAAAAATGCCAACATTGCCACATTAAGCATCACTGAATACAAATGCTTTATCAGCAATCTGCAGCCTAGTGTTGTTAATTTACATTTCAGAACAATGAAACTTTAACAAGTCAGTCACTCACTGGTTTGAAGTCTGACCATGGTAAGTCATGGTAGCAGCTTGTAATTAGGGCAGTACTGCTTATTGCTTTGAACTGCTTTCATCCCGCTGACAGCTCTTACCTTTTCAGAGTTTGTAAAAACATCAGACTTCAGCTCTCCATCCAGAAACTCATTAAAGTATTTCATCAGCTTCTGAGCCTCCACAGCCCGTTGCCGTGGCGTGTTTACCCCCTCCAGTTGGTCGCCAAGGTGACAGACCTTAGTTGCTACATAGCTGATGTGCTCATCTAGTTCTTGGAAATGTTGGAAGGCAACCTGGGAGAACAGACACGGACACAGAACTCATGATTTCCATTTACTGTACTTTCAGAAACACTAGATTTACTTCAACAAGCAGCACAGTGAATGCAGGCATCAGCTTTCCAGGTGCTGTATCTCAGAACTACAGAACTACTCAGAACCGCTAATTAAGTACATCCAACTGCTTAAAGTGTAGTGTCTTCCTCTAAGCTATTGTGAAGACTCGCTACTTTCAGAATAGCTAACACTCATTAATGGAACAGATAAGCCCCCTTTGACAGGGGAAATTGTTTTCCATCAAACCCTCTTTATTTTTATCTCAAACAGTAGCACGCTGTACCAAGAAATGTCAGTAGAGTATGTGATGCTTTTAAAACTTGCAGAGTTTAGCTCTGACTATACTCTTCAGATTTTACCTGGTTGCTTTTCTGCAGCTCTTGTACTTTCTTGGCAAATTCCTTTGCTTCCTTCTGGCATTGCTGTTCTAGTTTCTCCACCTTTCTCTGAATCCTTTCATCCATTACCTGTAATTCTTGGATATGATTTACAAATTCTTCCAATAATCTGATTTAAAATAAAATACAGTAAAGGAGACTTTAGTTTAAAAGACATTATCTTCTGTAGAGAGCTTAAAAAACAACCTCAAAAAAAAAAACTTGCCTAGAAGGCTGATATAATAATGTCTAATTTACAAATGCTATTTTGTTTTAAACTATACTACCCTGGTTGAGTAAAACTCCACGCCTACATAAAAGCTGTGTGATTGTATAAATGGTAGACCACAGGAGAGGGGAATACCTAACTACCAATCACTAAAGAATGTGGTTCTGCCACAGGTGCAAAAATCCCTGTCCCCTCATCTTCCCTAAATAAGTCTTATTAGGGCAAAGAAAGCTTAGGCCACTACATCCTTTCAGTGTAAGGGCTATAACAGGAAAATATTTTCTACTGTACATGTCAGTGTAAACTTGTAAATCAGCATCCTATTAATAGACAATGAATACAATCACTTTGTCTCATAATGTTGTTTTGGTTATAACCACGTTACTTCCTGACTTAACTTCTTTTCTTCCTATAACATATACCATTTTAAAGAGGTTTTTTTCTGCCCTTTCCCATCACTTTGATTTTTCTTTCAGACTCACATTTTACTCTTCCCAAACACAGTACATCTGAATGCATTCTTAATTTCCTCTTTTTCATTCCATTTTCAATATCTCACTTTTTCTCATTCATGTTTTTGTCCATTCAGTCCCATTGCAGTTATCTTTTCAGCTTATACTTTTCCAAACATCCCAGCCGCTGATTCCTCAGGAATGGATTACTCCCAGATCCTCCATAGCCATAAAACTCATGCTAACAACTGAAAGCATACAAAAGATTCAAGAACTCTGCTGTCCAGGTTTAGTGTCAAAGCAGAAGAGAAGAGGAAATGGGAATCCCTTCCAAGGAGCTATTTCTAGACTCCTCAGGAATCTGCATTTTCATATATACTCTGTTCAGAAGGTATTCTGCAAATGTGAAGCCCTTCCAAGCTGCAATGCTGCTGAACGGCAGAATGAGCACGCTGTTCCTCTCCTGGCTTTCCACACACAGGCTACAAAACCTTAGCAACCAGAAGGGAAAAGTAGAATGTATTATTGTGCCCTCACATAACTCCTTCCCAGTAACACTGCAGTACCTCTCTTAGCTAACATTTAGAGCTCTCTCTGACCAACACCTAAATGATACTAATGTGATTCTCTTTAGTTGCAAGGAGGGTCACTGAATTTTCAGTTTTAACTTCTGCTGCTAAGATGACTGGTTTTTACTCTGCTGCTGGGAGCACGTGAACTGTCCTTTTGCTCACCGTATTGATCTAAAAACTTATTTCAAGTGATCTCTTTACAACAGTGACTTAAAGGCACAACTTGTTAAAGAAATCTGCATTGGGGCAGATGTTTATGACTTCTTTCCTCCACTTCCTGCTTGCCAGAATCCTAAGAGTAAGCATGTTGCATTAGATTCCACAGAAAACCACAAGGAACAGACCTAAGTTTACAGAATTATATTTAAAACAAAATTTTGTTGACACAAAATTTTTAAAACAAAATTTTTGTGACACAAAGCATACTTTCAAACAAAAGCCTAGAGAAGTGCAGATAGTTTCTGTTCACTTTAACAAGCTGATTCAGTCCAGTTTAGGGTTTGTTTTTTTAAACAGGTATTGTAACAATCAGCACTTATTCGGCAATAGTACTCAATATAGTGAGTGAGTTAAAAATGCTCAAGTAGAAGAGGTAGCTGCTGGTCAGGTTTCTCAGAATAAAGACTCCAATGTTCTTTCTATCAAACAAAAGCAGCAGCATCCAAAAACAAACAAGAAAAAACATACACTAAAAGTTCTGGGGGTTTTTTGATACAAATTTTGGCTCTCTGCCCAATACTAGAAGATCCCACAAGAAAATTATTTACTGTTGCAGAATTCTCCCATTTGTTCTAAAAAAAAAAAAAAAAAAAAAAGAAAGTGCATCACAGAAGTTAAAACCAGCAGAAATACAGAAGATAGGTTAAACTGAGTGGTATTGGTACAAGTCATTAACTATTCTAAAGTATACACTAGGCACAACTGTGGAGAAAGGAACAGGAAGGAATGCTGTGTATTTCCATGCTTCTTCCTGCTTAAATCCCATGTAAAGCTCTGCATAGGATACAGGCCCCAGACTGAATGTCAAGGGTTCAGCACCTTGCTAGAACTCCAACAGTATCATTCCTCTTCTCACACCTCCAGAGAGCCAGACTGGTCCAGAAGGAATGTCCTTTGACCATGCTAATGAAGTGTTTCATATTTGCTTTTGAATATCAACAGCTTATCTATGAAGTTAGTAATTCCTAAACTTCTTAAGAGTTCTAGCTCAGGTTACTACATGCAATCTCAATCTGGAATAACATCTTGCAGATGAGGAATGACTAAGGAACAGCTATTGTACTTGCTCATCTCCCAAATTATAATCGTGTGAAAAATAAAAACACTTAATTATGTCTCTAGAAAGACTACCAATACTCGTACAAAAGCTAAGAAGTAGCACTATTTGAAAGAATCATTCTTTTCAAAATGAAAGAAGATCCAGAGCTTTGGAATACAGAAGCTTAGATGTTGAACACTGCTGTATAAAATTCTGCATCTCAGCTACCAACGCACACTCTATGCCAGCCCAGTAACCAGAGAGCTGCCTTCTCAGGGGCAGGTCCTGCACTACCTCCCCTTGTCCACTTCCCCCAGCCTAGCCTTGCTCCTTCCCACACCCACATTCCTTCTCACCACCAGCCCACAAACACATCACCTCTTCCTTTTTCACCTGCTCTCAGGCTTTTCCAGTCCCCCAAAATTGATAACCCAACTAGGAAAAAAAGTTGTTGTTGGTTTTTGTTTGGTGGTTTTTTTTTTTCTTTTGGTTTGGTTTATTTTTTTTGTCAGGTTAGTTTTCTGGCATTTTAATAAGTTAGATCAGCTTATCACGAGATCACATACCCAGAGGTAGCTGAAGATGAGGCATCACAGTGTGCAGCAAAGAGCAAGGAAGAAGGGCAACAAGCCCATCTTCATTCAGCATCAGCAAGTTGTTAATTTGATTCAGACTATACCACACAAATTCATTTTAAAACAATCTAAGTCAACACTACCATGTTCCTGCCTTTCTTCCCATCCTACCCATTTGTGCCTTTCATTTGCACCAGGACTGTAAACTACTGGGTCTTACAGCAAGTCAGCTCAGGGAGCTAAACAGCAAGAAACTCATTAAATTGACTTAACTATCATGGCAGTGAAGCCTCATATTATGCTTTAATCCAGAAAATCAAGTGCTTTGGAACATTCATGTCTGACAAGGACAAACAACATCAATTCTTCATTCAGAAGGTCTAAATCAGAAAGTGACTTTCCCTACTCTTGTTAGTGAATAATTGCTTCTGAATAATTGGCTCATGGTCACAAATTCTAGCAATTCTCCCAAATGAAAACCTCCTTGGACACACACCAACACTACATGCATGCTTTTTGTTATGCGTGTAATAAAACAGTACAATTAGAGATATTCACTTTGACCATTACGCAATTTTATTTTACCTTTTCGGATCAAAAGCTTCTCCACCTCTGGAACCTCCTCCAGGTGTTCTCCATGCCAGGCGTTCAATGTATTCATCTGCCACAAAAGGCTCCTAGCCACAGAATAAAAACTCCTTACGATGTGCCATAGCAGGTTGTTCCTTAAGCAGCTGCTTACACATCATTTTGAAAGCGTTTCTACAATCAATGTAGCTTTACTACAATCAAGAGCAAGTACAGTGTTGACAATTACCCCATCACCTCTTATGTTTACATATTTAATAGAGAACACCGTGCTTAATATTGCGGGTTTGAACATCTAGTCTACAGATTGCCAGACTACTAGCAAAGAATTTACTGTGAGCCTGTGAAGAGTTGGCTCTAAGTTACCTGATACCGAAGTTACTTATTTCCAGGTGAGCTTATGGCTCGTCATTACAAAGTGTCTGAAGCATGCAGCCACTACACTGATTTGAGATATTACATCACGAGACCCAGCAGTCAGCTGTAGCACAAATCAGATAGGAAAACTGGTCCATCTAAAAAAATTACGTGGCAAAGTAAATTTTCTTTGCAGTTGCTCAGCTCTCTGATGCAGTTCATAACATAGCATCACAAGAAGAACTGACCAAGGCACTGCCCCCTGGCAGAAACAGTGCAAGATTGCCACTGGACACTATGCAACATCAAACTGCAGCTGCAGAAACAAAGCAGAGAAAAAGTAAAAAAAAAACAAAAAACAAAAACCACACAGCAAGCATAAAAACAGATGATGGACTTGACTTCCCCAAGGTGAAGCAGGCCATGAGTATGCTAAAAATACAAGATTACTCTGGTTTCTTCCATAATATTTGCTGGAACTTTCATAAAAATACCACGCAATGGTGAACAGTTAAGATTATTTTTCTACCCAACATTGTTACCTGAAGACAGAGACCTTATTATAAAGCCAAGAGCTCCTCTTTTAGCTGGTCCAATATTTAAACCAGCTCAAACATTTCTTCACACAGTTAATGTTAAATACTCAAAACATAGTCCAACACCTACCCTTTAAAAAAACTAGTATGTATCATTTCAGCTTCATTGGTAATCTAGCAGCATTGTTTAAGTGCTCACATCAGCACATCTGCGATCAGTAAATTCTCACAACCACTAGGATTTTATGGAAAGCTTTTAATTTACATGCATCAATGGTTCTAAAACTGTGAACCACAGCCCAACAGAGTCGGGAGTGGCTCTGGTTAACAGCGGTACTTGCCACAACTCATTTCTGATAATGAGACACATGAACATGCCATTGCTGCCTTTAAGAAAGCTTGGTTTAAAAAAATAAATAAATAAAACCAGACCTCCACAACTATCAGATTGGTTCTTGTATCAATAGGTCTAAAATCTTGTCAGAAGTAATAGGGAGGGAAAACACAGCACTATAGTATTATTTTAATAACTAAAACCAAGGGTTGGAAAGCAAATATTGTCAGTTTGAGTTTGTCATTCCTCAAAAACACATTACGCCTTATCCAGTCAGAGCTAGCTATTAAACAGAAATATAAAGGTTTTTTAAATACACTTTGCAACATGCTGAATCCTGCTAGACAGGAGAGAGGTTTCACCCTTTCAAGAGATCACCTGGTAACTCCTCACTCAAAGACTGAGTAGAATAACCGTGTTTTGCTCAGCCTCCTTGGTCAAGCTTCAAAAGTAACTGGATGATACCACATATAAACTATTCCTCTACAGGCCACATCTCTTTAAGCCAGTCCTTCCAGATACACAACATTAAGTTTCCTTTACATTAATCCTTTTTATCAAAAGTTATAATGCAGTGTTTCCATACCAAGTGTAAATTCTCTCCTTATGTCATCTTTACATCTAATGTCTGGGAACATTTTTGCAATTTTAATTATAGGTGAAATGAGCCATTCATACAGTAACATTCCCTTAAAGGGAGTCCTCCAGCTTCCTAATTACCTTATGGCTCTTCACAGAAGTTCTCCTTTATATGAAAATCACAACCACAATTTTTCTTCTGAAGATCCCATAATTCAGCTGTAGTGCCATTCTAGTCACAAGGATACCAATGCCAAGTCAGCGCTATGGAAGCACCCTATATAAAGGGTGCACTGTTCACTGATGCTCTGTGTGCATACATAACATTTTCTACATTTCTCCCTTCAGATGTTTGCACTAGAAGATAATTCACATACACATCCCTAGTGATTTTGATTTTTTATTCCTTTTTTTTTTTGCAGAACAATGTTTACAGGGCTTTTCTGCACACCTATCAAAGCCTCCTCTCCTATGGAAATCTGAACCCTCAAAAATAAAATTATACTGCCAGTCTTGCTCTATCCATTATGCCTCTATACTCCTCTAAAGCTCCCTGGAGAGCATGTGTACACGGAGTGTCTGCAGCTCCCTCCACTGCATCCCCAAAACTAGCTGGGCACATGGCAACAAGCGCTGGGGTTGACCCCAAGCTCGGTGCCACCCCACCAGCCGCGAGGCCAAACTGAACTGGGAGCAGCCCAGTCCCCTCCGCTGCCCTTCCCACCACATGGGCACTCACGTGTGTCCCCCTCTTCCACAGTGCTCATCCCGGCACCCGTCTGCCTCTCTCCCTCTGCAACACCTGCTATTCTGCAAAACTGATAAACCTGCACTTTGTTTTAACAATCTGACACATCAGCAAAGAGTGTTAATTAGTTTAGTTAGTCCTAAATGATGGCAGAATCACTGTTACACACAGGGGCAGTAATATTTTGAAGGGGCATAACCTGGGGAATACCTGTTTTTCATGAACTTACATAGGAGACCTGCCCTTCAGTTTTTTAATCATATAAACCCTGTTCTGTATGATTCAAAAATAGTAACTGCAGGGGATATTATTATGTGCAGAATACTAACCAACAGAGAAAAAAATGAGCTTTTTCTTCCAAATTTTCACAAAGGGTGTGCTAAAAATAATCTACTTGATTTAGAAAGAACAAATGAAGTTCAACAGTGTCTTTTTAAGACACAATTTCACAGGTTCTACTGCAAATCCTAAATATTTTTTATTTGTATATCGTAACATTAAACTGAGCAAATATATGCAGATCCCTTGATATTAGGGTTACCTATAGCAGACAGCCTAATTCCTATTTTAAGTTTCCTATCCAGTCCTGCAAAAATTGCTGAAAATCAGCTATTACAAATGTCATTTGCAAGTCCTCTGACTCTTATCAGATGAGCCCCAACAGTCGATTTTTTCATAGCTTTGAACTTCCCTCTAGCTCTAGATGAACTAACGCGATCCTATCCATTCAGCTAATACTACTGATTTAATAAGAGATATGCCTGAAGTGGATGATAACCTGGTTTGATCTGGTCTGTAAATGAAACTAAACTGGGCCCAGCCACATAAAACCCAGTTTAGAAGTAATCATTGTTAAATTACGCTTTGAGTTATATGAGGGAGAATTGAGTCCATGTTGTGTCCATTTTCAGCACAGATCCTTCTACACAATGTCACATATCTAGATTGAAAATCACTTTCAAATACATATTCATGAAAACATGGCAAATACCATGCTCAGTATGCAGCTAATGGTAACTCCCGTAATAAGCACATTTTCATGTTCTAACCTATATGGCAGTGACTTCAAACTAACATAGTAGGTAATGTTAATTTAGTGAAGGTCAGCAAAACCTCTCTTGCCTTTGGAGTGAAGTGAAATCAGAAGGGAAAGAAGCATTGGCTTCCATATTGGAAAACATAATTTCAAGCCCTATCTCTAGGTAAAGGTCTCACCTACTCTGCAATTTCATCTTTACTGCTATAGCAAAATGGAATAAATTGTCGCATGACAAAATATACAGTTTTCTGTCCACATCCAAGTCATCTCACATTCAACATCCCTCAAAGAACAGAACTGCACTGTCATCACATTGATAAATCAACGTGCTCCCAGGGCAGTTAGTGAGGTGCAGAGAGGGTATCACACCTGTGGGTATATAGCTACTTACAACACCGTGTATCAGTTCCGCTGTTTTTTTTTAAACCACTCAAGCCAAAAGATGTGAGTCATAATACTCATGTGCCATAACAGTGATTCATAAATAAAAATGCACACAATGCATTCATATAAACCACAGACATAGGATCTTCCAGAGGAACAGGAAGACCTTTCCTGAAGGCTGGGTAAAGCGGGTCCCAGTGCTAACACACCAAATGAACAACGGGCTCTTGAGTGACCCAGAGAGCAAATAAAGGATACCCGGTAACGGCACCACATCCCCGTGCACTAGCTGTAGGACAAATGCTTTCTCTTTATCACTGGTCACACCATGACAGGTCCAGGCCAGGAGAGAAGAATTTGTCAGACTCCTGCTATATTCCTGCTCTGCTCCTGCACAGCCTTGGGCAAGCTATTCGGTTTCTCGTGCCTCAGTTCCAAGGCGGCTAAAGGGAGGGCAAAGTTATTTCCTTATTTCGGATGAGGAGAAGCCTTGCTGAGATACCACAGTGCCGGGGTCAACCGAGTACGTGCCTCCGGGAGCAGCAGCGTGGCGGCCGGGCCTGGCGTGGCCTGTCACCCCGCTGAAGGCAGCGCCCCATCCGCTGACAAGACCCGGGAGCCCCAGGGGAAGGAGGCCCAGTCAGGAGGGGCACCCCGAGCCCGAGGGAAGGTGAGGGGCTGCATTCCCCCGAGGCAGCACCCACTCTTGGGGGTGGTCGTGGGGGGTGTCCTCACACGCACACACACACCCCCCGACACCTCCTCTCCTCAGGTTCCGGCATTGCGCCGCTCGCCCTCCGCACACGCCCTCACCGCGGAGCCGGGGCGGGAGGGCCCGTTCATCCTCCCCGCGGCCTCGCCACCCGCGTAGGAGCTCGCCCGCCGCGGCGGGAGGCCACCGCATCCCCTCGGAGAGCCGGCCGGCCCCGCCGCCGCCTCCCGCCCGCGGGGGAGCCGCAGCGCTCCCCGCACCCACCTCGAAGAGCTCGGCCGTGGCAGCCATGGCCTGAGGGAGGACGGCGGGACCCCTCAGCGACCCGCCGCCCCGCCGCTGCCGCCCATTGTGTCCCGCCGCCCCGGCACCAGCAGCAGCCGCCGCGGCGCCGCCTCCGCCCGCCGGAAATGGGCCTGCGCCGGGCGGCCGCCGCCGGGGAGGGGCCGGGAGCTGGGCGCGGCGGCCTCTCCCCCCCTCTCAGCGCCGCTCCGCCGCCATCGCCATGGCCCTGCGGGGGCTGTGGCTCCTCAGGCCCGGCCCCGGGGCCGCCGGCACCGTGCTCTTCTCCAGGTAACCGAGGCGGCGGGGATGGGCGCGGGGCCGTCGTGCGGCCGCCTCTCCCCGGGCTGCGCGTCCTGCCGGGCGTCCGGCCCCGGGCAGGAGGGAAAGGGAGGGGGAGGAGGCGCGCCGGGCTCGGCGGGGCCGCCGGGCCCCGGCACGGCTGCAAAAACACCCCGAGTGCTTCGTGTTGAGTAAATCCCTTCGCTCGTCGAAGCGCCGCTTGATGTTTCTGAACCCGATTTTGGCAATTTATGGGTTCAGACAACGCGCTTCCAAAATAATCTGGTTGGTTGTTTGGGGTTTTTGTTTTGTTTTGTTTTTTAACAATTTCTGCTCTTTGCACATGACTTTCTTCCTCTTTCTGTTACTGTGATTATTTTAGCCGGCTCTTCTCTGTCCTAACGTGAAAAAGGACAAGGTAGTGATTATTAAATACCGTCAAATGAACAAAATGGGCAAAGTGGAAAGCAAATATTTTGCTTGTATTCTTTCCTCATTGTTTTGTAACCAAATGAAAAGTACGGTATTTTCAAGCAGAAATTTAACTTTTCATTTGATTTTTTGCATACAAAGGCGGGTTTTTTTAAGTTAGTGAACCAAAGGAGGACTGTGTATTCAGAACTCTCACAGAGTTTTAAGTAAGGCTTTGGGCTAGGCAGGCTGCTTGTGTTGGTCTGGCAAAATTTGTTGCTATTTTCTTGTACTCGCTGTGGTTTCAGAAAACTCAGTTCAAAAGAATGAGAGGAAAAATAACTGACGGGTATGGAAAGGAAAAATACTGAGACCTGCCTAGTAGATGTGATCAACAGTCCTAGTCTGAATTCAGTAAAACTGAAGAGAGAACCTAGAAGGAGGAAAAAAAAAAAAAAAAAAAAAAAAAACAACACCAAAAAGACAGGCAAGTAGACTATCTTCCATCTTCAGGTGCAGACAGATCTCTACTTTGGACATTCCTCTGATTGTTTTAGGATTAGTATTATAGTCCTTGTATTACCTACAAGACTAGAGATGAGGCCTCCCCTCTACAAACACAGAGAAAGAAAATGCCTTGTCCCAAAAAAGCTGAGAGTGTAATCACCCCAGAGGAAGGGGGGGTCTAGTGACAGGGATATGTGAAGTAACTTGTCACACAGTAAGTGGCAGAGACAAGGAATAGCACTCCTTTGAAAAGCGCAAACTATACTTGATACTTCAAGTGATTTCCAGACTTAGATCTTTCAAGTTCCCAGAGGAAATAATAGGGCTGTGGAAACCCCAAGTTTATCCTCCTAACTGACCTTAAATTCAACAAAGCGCACAGACAATATAAAGAATGCGGGATCACATGGCAACTGTTGGTTTCGGGACTTACGCACTCAGCTGGAGATACGTGAGCCCTGATCTTTAACCCCAGAGAAGACATCTGAGACATCAAAGCATTCCACTTTTTTTGAGCTGATCATAACTTAATTCAGGCAACAAGTATGGTCTCTCTCTTGAATCACCAAATCTCATTCACCCCTGGAAACTTTCATCTTTTTAAGTTTTCATGACTTTCTAGAAGGGAATACTGAAAAACAGATCTAAAGGGCTAACTAATCATCTAATGACTCAGCTAAAGCTGGGAAGATTCAGTGGGAGGAGAAGATTGCTGTGGCACAGGGACAGCTTCAGCAAATGGAACAGGCAGATTGGGACATAAGTAAGACAAAGCTAGACTGAAATATCTCCTCTTTCCTTGTTTTTAAAACATCGACCAAAAATAGGAGATGCTCACCAAGGTTTTATGTAGCAACTTATCAACAACCGTGCTGTGGAACTCATAAATTTTCAAGCAGAAAAGCCACTCGGTTTCCTTGCTCTTCAAAATAGACATGAGACTGTAGGGAAGCAGTTTACTGTCATCTGTATCCTGTTTACGGATCTCGTAGCCAGAAGCCAGAGCTGCCTTTGCTTGCTTTCTCCTTACTGAAAAAAAAAAAAAAAAAAAAAAAAAAAAAAAAAGGCAAGCTGGGTAGGTGCACCTGATTAAAACAAAAAAGCACAGTCATTGAAAATAAGCATGAGGGAGTGTAGCTGCTTCCAGCAAGAGACTGCTACTCAGTTAAGACAAAATGGTGTAGGTGGGACTTAGAGGCAACAGGGTAAAAACCATGCAAGGGTTCAGGAGCAGAAGGGGAACGCTGCATGTGGAGGTCATAGATAAAACAAAAGTACCACATTGCTGGGGTTACAAATTCCATGGCAATTTAAGAAACAGACTGTCAATGTGTCTTAAAAAAGATGGTATAAAAAGGGGAATAAATTCAGGTATTTATGTATCTGTGCATTTTTTCTCCCATGTTTGTGTGTAAGCATGGCTCTGAGCGCAAACAAACATGCAACCTGAGAACAGATCTGCTACAAGGCGATTCGTAAAGTGATTTAACTAGCTGACTGGTGAATAACCTGTGATAGGCACTTTGAAGGCCCATGGAGAACTACTAAGAGAGTGTAGAAAAGAGAGTGTAGAAAAGCTAGCCTGTTATCAAACTTAATGTGAGAGAGACTCGGGGGAGTCTGTAGTTCCAAAAAAGGATTAAAACCAATGCATTAGTGGAAGTAATGTTTTTTCTTTTCTTGACTATTTATTAAGACAACTCTTCAGTTCCTCTTAATAGAATTAGGTTAGCTTGAGAATAAATTCATCCCTCTTTCCTTTAAAAAATAATACTGATTCAGAAGGAAAAAATTCCAGACGTAGCATTAAACATCTAGTATGATTTTTCTCAAATATTATCTCTAAGAGATCTGAAATTAAGTTTAAACATTGATGCAACATAACAATTTTAAAATATTCAAAACCTTTGCTTCTCCATGACATTATGATTTTTATCTTAAATACTCAAAAAAAAAATTAAATTATAAAGTCACATATATTGCACTTGTAGTGTGGAATCCATTTTCCCAGAAAGCCATTCATCTCCTGCTGGAAAAAACGGTCTTATTTACAGTGAAATATTTTTTGTATTTATAATATTGTAAAGATTTTTATCTAATCTTGTTAATCAGTTAAAGCAATTGCTGCAGATGAATTGTGTAAACTCATAACAGCAATTAATAACCTGTATATAAGTAACTTCCATTATACTGTCTCGTAAATATAGTACTTAGCAGAGTAGCAAAGCTGTAGCAGTAGCATACTATATCTAGGCAAGAAGCCGTTGTAGTTGAATTTGATTACGTGGGATATCAGTTTTCTTCAGTTTCTGAAAACTTGTCTTCAGTGTGATCTCGCTTCTTAGAAATATTTTGCTGTTGAAGTTGCACTGCGCTGGTGTGAGTCATGCTTGGGTTCATTACTGTCGTTTAAACATCCTATACCTTTGTGCAACAGGAGGGGTAGACAGACAGATTTGTATTTTATTAAAAAGATGAGTGAATGTGTTTGCTCAAAGCTTACAGTAAAAATCCACCTGCTAGAATGAATACTAATTACTCATGAAATAGTTTTATTTTTTAGATTCTGATCCTGTCACTGTTTCTGTGAGGACACTGCTGGCTTTTACTTACACAAGGTTACTTTTAGGACCAGGGGGGACTCTGGGAGTTATTTGAATACCTAAGAGAAAACCATCCTTGACTATTTCAATACTCCAAAGATTTTTATAATGCTTTTGCATTCTCTGACAACCAGCAAAGGGATTGTGTGGTTCTGCTTCTAGGAACTCCGTTGTTATGGTATTTTGGGTGGGAAAAGATGAGTAGCACTAACACACTCTTATTTCCACGTCACAGACGTTACCCCACCGTTGAAATACGCGCTGAGACCTTCAACGGGTCAACGCATGTGCCTGTACCATCTGACAGCGCTTTCCTTAAAGCCTTGCTTTTTGAGCTGAGGCTCATAGATGACCATATTTTTGTGGAGCATCGAGATACTTGCACTCGAATCAATCATTCATCGGTATATTCAGTTCGCACCGAAGGAGGGGATCTCTGGCCCGTGCTTGCTTTTCAGAAGAGTGGTCTGATATATGCGTGTCTTCCACTAGTCGAGGAGACCTTGGAGCCACGGCCGCCCCTCCTCACCGTTAGTGGGCTCTCACAAGGACTGGCTCTTCTCTTAGGCATTGCAGCCTACGTCTCTCCAAGTTGGAAAAACGAAGCTGAGATGAGTGTGAAAATAGGGCAGCTTCGAAATTTGCTTATACAGGCCTGTCCACTTGGCACCCCCTTAAACACAAACATATGCAGCTTAAACAGCTCGTTCGATGACATTCAGGAAATGCCTACAGATGAGAATCAACCAGCTTGGAGATCCAGCACGTATAAAGGCAAACCTCAGGTTAATGTCTGTATCACTGAAAAAGTCAAGTGTACGCAGTATGACAAAAGAGAGGTTGTGGGCATGTGGCAAGTTTATGGAGCTGTAAATTGCAAGGTGAGAGCATTTTATGTGCAAGCCTGACCAAAGTAGTTCTTGTGCAAGCACAGTGGGAAAGTAAATACTCATGCCATTTTACTTTGGTATGTGATCAGTAAATTTCTAACACACTAATATTTCAAAGTGTAATGAACTATTACGTATTAGACTAATGCGTTAGTGGTTTTCATTTTGATCTCTACTGTTTTTTTCCTGCATGCTTCATGCATTTTTTCAGTAACTATTTATGGGACTTAAATTTTCAGCAGTAGCTAGATTGCATGTATTTTCCCAAATTTTTCTTATTTTAAATGAAATAGGGAGAAATAATGTCATACAGTCTTTGCATACAGCGATTGAGAAACGATAGTGCTAACACCAAGTTTCTTTCCAGCTATCTAATAAGCAATGTGTTAAATAACAATTAGAAACAAAATTTCTGAATGAG